TCTGCTCCAGGGCCTGCCGTGTCGTGTTGGCCGTGACCACGCGTGGGGAGCTGGCCCAGCCCTTGGAGCCCAGGGCTGCCATCCAGGGCGCACGAAGCTGGCCCTGGGATCTGGAAGGTCTGTGCGAGGGCTGATGCCGGTGTTCAGACCTCACCCTCAGAGCTGTTGGCACACGAGTCTTTTTCACAGCCCAGTGTTTGTCATCAGCCGGCATTTGTGGGCTCGGGGCAGACGAGAGATTTGGGGTGAGCAACAGAAAATTGGGAACCGAGGTCCAGACTTCACTCTGGGATTCCCTGAGCCTCAGTTTCCTCATTGGTCAAATGAAGAACGCAGTTGGCCTGTCTCCCCCTGCTGTGGGTCCGTGAGGAATTGGAAGGGAAGGTGCTTTGCAGACTGAAGCGAACTGTAGGCCAAGGGGTCTTGTGTTTAGTTAAACTTGACTGTGTACTTCAACAGCTGTGCTGGGGGCACGTAAAACTCCAGGGACCACCAAACACAACTCCAGGTGGCTCTTAATGTCATTTCAGTTCATTTCCAGGGCTCCCAACAATGGAGATTTCCTGTGAAGGTAACTTCACTCAACTTTCTCCCTAAACCGTGTTCCCCATGGATATGGCTTCTCTGGTTGACATGGGAGGGGCCTGTTGCCAGGGATCATCAGAATAGTCCTCACCCCCGGGGAGTTCACAGAGCTGGGCAGGGGCTGTGGAAGTCTGCTGCTGGCAAGTCTGCTGCGGGCCTGATTAGCGGGGGAGGGGCCAGGCGGGGAAGATTTGACATTTGAGTGGGGCTCTGAGGGATGAATAGGAGTTTGCTGGTTGGGTGAGGGAAGAGGAAGGGCATTGGGGCAGAAGGGAGAGTATGCAAACGCCTGAGGCAAGAAGGGCTTGTGGCCAGAGTTGTGGCCATACCACAGGGGCCTTGAGTGTAGGCAGTGGGGAGCCACGGTGGGTGTTTGAGGAGGGGGTGGAGCGGCCTGTTGGTTTGGGCAGCTGGGGCCTTGCTGTCGGCAGGATGGCAGGATGTCGGACTGTGGTGGGGCAGGGGGATTTGGGCTGCGGGCTCCGTGACTGGGGTGCAGAGGGACACCTGTCCTGGGAGGTGGCTGGGAAAGAGCCGCGCTTTGGGCTGTCAAGGCCTGGGCTTGAATCCTGGCTCCACCCCTGACTCATGGCAGGACCATGAGCAAGTCACGTCACCTCTCTGAGAAACAGGGACACAGTCTCACTTGTTGTGAGTGTGGTCCTCTGAGGACTGGCTTTGCTGCGACTGGGCAAGTTACTGACCCTCTCTTGGGCCTCAGTTTCCTTGTCTATAACATGGTGATAATCACAGCATCTGTAGCCTGGGGTGGACGTGAGGGTTGTCCCCAGGAACCCGTGTCCCATACCTGGAGCAGTGCCATCCTGGGGACAGTGGCCTCGTTTGCTCTGTGCATGGCCTCCTCTAGCTTCACTTCCTATGGCCCTGGATGGGACCATCCTCATGCACTTGAGGAAGGTGGGGCCTCGAGAGGTGAAGATTCTCCCCTGCAGTCCTGAGCTGGGGCTCGAACCCAGGTCTCCTGACCCAGAGTCCAGGGCTGCCAGCCAGGGCCTGAAGTGAGGCCTGGGGTGGGTGAAACGCCCCATGGTGCCCGGAACATGGTAGGTGCTGGTTAGATGGGCGAGAGGCCGGAGACCCCTGCTGTGTGGCCCTGGGCTGGGGCAGGGGTGGTGCTGGGTGGCTCTTGAGGGCCTTCCCTTCAGACCCATCGGTCACATAGCAGGGGCCCCGTGGGGTGAGGCCCCGGCTGGGAGAGAACAACATTGTTCTGAGCCCAACAAAGGGCCTGTAACCGCAGCCACAGCTGGGCGCTTGAAGCTGCTGGGCTGGTTTCAGGGACAGAGGCCAGCCCGGTGTGGGATCTTGGTGCCTCTGCCCTTGCTTCCCTTGAGTATTTCATCTCCCAGGTGGTCGTGGCCCCATGGGAGTGGCAGGAAAAGCTCCAGTATGCGCCCACATTCCCCAGGTTATAGACTCCTCTGTGACCTGGCCTTCTCCATCTCGTCTCACACCGCAGCTCCCCTGGGAGGTGGGCGGGGCAGTGGCTCTCACCTTCCTTCTGTAGATGAGAACACCTAGGCTTGGAGAGGCCTCAGGTACTCGGCCAGAGCGCCGTACCTAGGTTGATAGAGTGGGGAATCCTGGCGGGGCTTCCAGGAAGGTGGGGAGCAGTGGGGTTGGGCTTTGAGAGGTGAGAGTCGTCTCACCTAGCCCTGAATAGGGCAGGGGCTGCTTCCAGGTCTGTGCTCCGCAGAATACACTACCTCAGGACGCCCACAAAGGAAGCAGAGAGGCCTCCGTGCAAGCAAGGAACTTCACTCTGAGCTTCCTGGCAGCCAAGGCAAAGAGGGAAACTTGTGGGGTAATGATAAGAAGAACATACACAGTCATTTACTGAGAGAACTAGTCAGGGGAGGTATACTAGGGAGGGTGAGTGAACAGCTGTGAAACAACTTTCTTGAGAACCAGCGTTTTGTGTCAACTTTTGCTTCTTAGCCTTGCTATTCGAACCACCACTGTGGGCTTCCCCCAACTCCCACTTTTTATTTTGAAATAATTTTAAACTTACAGTAAAATTGGAAGAATGTATAAAGAGCTTTTGTATATTTTTCACCCAGGTGGACCAAATGTCAACATCTACTGTATTTATTATTTGTGTTTGTATATTTAAAAATAATTTTTTTAATTATTTGAGAGTAAGTTACAGATATGACGCCCCTTGGCCCCTAAATACTTCAGTGTCTGTCTCCTAAGAAGAAGGGCATTCTTTTTCCTGACTGCAGGACAATGAGCGGATCAGGAAAGGAACACTGGTAAACACTGTTGTCTAACCCACGTCCTTAATTCATATTTCCGCAGTTGTCTAGTATTGTCCTTCATAGCAGTTTTCTTCCTGGCCCAGGGTCTCGTCCAAAACCACATGTTGCATTCAGTTGTTCTGTCCCTTTGGCCTCTGTCTTAGTTTCCCAGGGCTGCATAAAAATCACCATGAACCAGGTGGCCTAAAACAGCAGAAATTTATTCTTTCGCAGTTCTGGAGGCCAGAGTCTGAACTCAAGGGGTTGGCAGGTTGCGATCTCTGGAGGTCTAGGGGAGGTTCTTCTGCCTCTTCCCGCGTCTGGTGGCTGTCGGCAGTCCTTGGCTTCCTTGGCTTGTGGCCACGCTCCAGTCTCTGCCTCCATCTCCACGTGGCCGTCTCCTCTGTCCTGTGAGGACTCTTGTCATGGGACTTAGGGCCTACCCGGGTAATTCAAGATGGTCTCATCTCAAGATCCTTAGTTTAATTACATCTGCAAAGAGCCTTTTCCCAAGTAAGGTCACATTCCCAGGAGCTGGGGGGACATATCTTTGGGGACCACCATTCAAACCACCAGAGCCTCCTGTAATCTGGGCCAGTTCCCCGACCTTTCTTTGTTTTTCGTGGCATTGCCATTTTTGGAGAGTTGTGGCCAGTTATTCTGGAGAACTTGTGGTTAGGGGCAGGTCGTGTGCCTCTGAAGGAAGCCCATGGGGCAGCGGTGGGCCCCCTTGCATCGCGTTGGGAGGGGCACGGTGTCGGCTGGCCCCTTTCCCGTGGTGCTCACTGGCTGGGTTGGGGTCTGCCAGGTTCTCCACTGTGGGGTTGGGCTGAGCTGTCTGGAGGCCATTCTTGTTTTTTCCTGAGTCTCGCTTGTGGTCCAGGTAGTGGAGGCTGCCCGGGACCTGACTTCTGGAGGGCCGAGGGGTAGCTGCTGCCCAGCGGGTGCCCTGTGGGGTCATGGGCCTGCTGGGGCCTGGCCTGGGTTAGGAGCTTTCCATGGCCTTTGTCCATCTTCATACCCCAGGGAGCGTGGCTTACGGTCCTCATTTCACAACTGGAGAAACAGCCCAGAGAGGCTGAGGGATTTGCCCAGGGACGGAAACAGCTAGAAAGAGCAGGAGGCCGGTGGTCTTTCTAGCTGTCCTCTCCAGGTAGACCTAAGCAGTGAGCACTCTGGCCATGGGATTTGGGTTTTCTCTGTTTTTAAAAAATCCAAACCACCTCTTAGGATCTTCGTGAGGCTGAGATGTGGGGACAGGGGACTGGCCAGAAGGGGCCTCTCGGGGCCACACGGGAGGGTGAGCAATGGGCCTGGTGTTTCAGAGTGTGATTGGGGAGGCAGGTGGACTCAAGTTCGAATCGCAGCTCCCCATCTGCCAGCTGTGTGACCACGGGTGAGTTGCTTCACCTCTCTGAGCAGTTTCTTCATCTGTAAAGTGGTGGCGATGACAGTACCCACCTCATGGGGTTGTCAGGAGGTTAACGCCTGTGTGGGGTCAGCATGGTGCAGAGCAGTAGACTGTCAGAGCTTTGGGGGACCTTGCCGATCACCTGGTCCAGTTCAGTTCAGAGAGGGGAAGGGACTTGCCCAGGGTCACACAGCCAACAAGGAGCGGAGATTCCCAGTGCCCAGCACAGTGCCTCAGCTGCCTTTCATGCCTGAAGGCAGAATCCCCGGGGCTCAAGGGTTTGTCTGTTTGTCTAATTAGAAGTAGCACTTGACATCGCTTAATAGGGCCAGGGAGATTGACTAAAGGAAGAAAAGGGGGAGGGGGAGCACAGATACACAGTGCTCAAGATTAAGCACCGTAACTTGTGAAGTTTACCCTGAGCTTCCTGGCAGCCAAAGTGAAAAGGGATATGTGCTCAGTTACGTAGCTTTCTTTGTCCCTGTTCCTCAGGAAATGGAGCTTTTCCAACGACTCAGTAATGCAGTGATGGGTTTCATGAGTCTAGTTTTTGTAACTTCTCCCAGCCAGTGCCAAAATGGGGTTCCCTGATGAGGATGGTGGGGAGAGGGCCTTCCTGGCAGAGGGGACAGCATCAGCAGAGGCCTGCAGGAGTGAACAAGCTGGTGTGTTGGGGGAAGGGCGGGTGGCAGGCCCCTTGCCGTGCCCGCACTGACCTCATGGGTGTGTGCCTCTTGTTGCAGTTGGGCCACGTGGTCCTGTCCCCAGTCTGGTTCCTCTACAGCCTGCTCATGAAGCTGTTCCAGCGCTCCACCCCGGCCATCACCCTCGAGAGCCCGGACATCAAGTATCCACTGCGGCTCATCGACAAGGAGGTGAGTGGTGGGGCCCCGCGGGGTCGCGGGGTGTGGGCCACAGAGGCCCACCTCTCTCCTCGTCAGCATCACAGCTTTTCTCCAGCACCTACGTGCTCAGGGCACGGCCCCCCTCCGAGGTAGGTCCTGTTATCTGCCCATTTGACAGATGGGGAGAGTGAGGTGATGTCTCTTTCTAAAGCTACCAGTAAGTGGCAGAGGGATTCGAACCTAGATCTGTGGCCACAGAGCCCATTCTCTGAACCACACTCACTGTCCCACAGGAGGTCAGAGTGGGAGGGACCCCTTAGGACTTTTGGGTCCAAGTGCCCATATGAGAGATGGGAAAACAGAGGGCGAGAGAGGAGTAGGAGGCATTTGAGGTCACACTATGAGTTTGGGGTGGAACCAGGACTCAGGCCCAGACCTCCCGGTGGTCCCGTGCTGTCCCTGAAGATAAGGGACCCCCCCACCCTGAGTCATCTATTCTGGGCCTGCTCTCGTGGCCCGGACGTCTTCTGCACCTGTGCAGTTCCCTGTGTGGTTCCGGCTGCCCCAGCCGAGAGGCTCGCTCCTGCCGTCTCCTTTGGCACTTTTCCTTTTCAGACCTCTGCCCCGGATTGTAAACCACGCTCTCTCTCCTCTGCCCTGCGGCTGTAAGGGCTGCTTCCCTCCTTCCTCTCCCTCTCAGAGCCCCTCCCCTGTGCTATTTCTGGCCCCTCGCAGCTGCCTCTGGGGGTGTGAGGGGAAAACTGAGTCATGGAGCAGAGAAAGTCACCTGCCCGAGGCCTGGGCCCAGGCCCCACCCTAGGATCCACGCAGGTCTCAGGTCTCCCGGCTCAGAGCTGGGGCTTCCTGTGACTGCTGGGACGTGGGTCTGTAACTCTTCCGGGAGTTCATAGAAAAGTCCAAAACCAGAGAGAAGCAAAAAGAAAAAAAAATCACCACTTCCCAGATGAGACCACACTTATCCTTTCAATATGTTTATACACAATTTTTCCTTCCTAAAGTGAAATCATAATGTTTTGAAACCTTTCCTTTTTAAAAATTCTTTTTCATTGTTGTTGTTTTTTAATTCCAGAAGTAATGTGTGATTTATATGTGCTTGCTATAAAAATTCTGTTTGTGACATGTGAATGTTCCCCCACCATCCCCTGTGCAGAGGGTCCCCTTCTCGGTCAGCAGAGCCTTTTCTGGGTGTCACGTTTGTATAGACATGACGTGTGGAGGTTCAAGTGTGTATAGTCTCTCTTTTTTAATAACCTGATTTTTTTACCCAGCCATGCAATGTGGACACCTTTTCATGTCTAACCCAAAGCTGCTTCATTATTTTTGATGACTGTCTAGTATTCCATTATAGGGATGTCACACAGTGGACCCTCCAGTCCCGTTTGAGCATGTGGGAAAATGTCCCAGCAGTTAAATCTTTGTCCCCCACATTGTAGCCCCGTGGTGGCTTTGTGGGGTCGGCAGTGGGCCTGCTTTTTGCTGCCTTTGCTGTGCTCCGCCACGGGCACAGCGAGGGGCCCCTGCTGCCTGCCCTCCCTCCCTCTGAGCGGGACTGGACCAGGTGGTCCGCAAGGTCTCCCTGAACTCTGAGAGTCCCCTGCTCAGATCCTGACGGCCAGCAGCCTCCCGGATGCCAGCACGGTGCTGAGCCCCGTGGGGGCGTGACCCTTAGGACTTCTGCCGGGCTCTGCTGGAGGTTATCCAGCACAGTAATTACAAGTGTCTTTCCTTCATTTCTCTTCTTCCTCCAAAAACTGTCTGGCATGTGGGTTTCTGACCTGGAGCCCCAGGACCAGGGCTAAGCCTGGAATCCATTCCCAGGAGGCCTTGGGGCTCCGTTGGCCCAGAGTGCAGAGGTTTCCAGGGGAGGCAGCTGCAGGCCCGGGCGGCTGGGACACAGAGGCCCGCTGGCCACCAGCAAGTCCTGTGTCCTGAGTGGTGGCTGGGCGCCATCTTTCTGGAGATCCAGGCTGCCTGCCTCTGCTCCCACACCTCAGTGATGTGCAGAGTGATGCTCGGTCCCTTTGGAGAAGTCTGTTGTCCCCCCCGAGTGATAACACTCACCCAGCAGTGGACCTTACCGCGTCACCCAGCCTCGTGTGGTGTGCACAGTGCCTGCCTTCCGAACCCACCCTCCCGGCTGCGCCTGGGTGCAGGGGGCCCCACAGGCCTGCTGGAGCCCAGGTCGGGGGTCAGGGCGCTGGGTTCGGCTCCCAGCTCTGACCACAGCTCGCTGCCTGACGCCTGCCTTCTCTGGCCTCAGTTTGAGAGGCTTAGTGGGGATTCGGGGGCTTCAGTCTCTCTCCTTCCTTAGCCCAGCCTGGCTCCCAACCAGCCTCTGCCGCACCCCTAAGGGGAAACGGCTACCACCCTGCCACCCTTTGACCACGTCCTAAGTGCCCACCCCATGCGGGCCGGAAGGCTGGCTTTGGGCTCTCAGCCATGCCAGCCCCAGGGACCTCTCGAGCAGTGGGGGCTGCCACGCCTCCCGCCTTGTGCAGCCCAGCCCTGGTCATGGCTGCCCCGCTTCTCAGGGGGCTTTTAGTGTAGTGGCTTCTAGAGCCCAGCTCTGGAGTCCAGGCCTGGGCACATGGGCCCTTGTCTCATCTCTGCCCCTAGCTTACCAGCCCAGCCCCCAAGTATCCACCCCACAATACTGGTCAAGCTGATGGCAGAGATGGGTCCCTCCCTCCCACCCCTGGAATTTTCTGGGCTGTCTGGCAGCTTTCCTTTGGGATCCTGAGTTCACCCCCCTATCTGACCACATTACTCTGTGGCCCTGGGCAGGTCACTGGCCCTCTCCAGGCCAGCGAGAGCAGAGGCACACCCGGTGTGTGCAGGTTTTGCATCCACTGTAGAGTTAGCATCAGTTTTCTCGATGACACTCGGGCAGTGGGGAGGGGTGGGGACTCTGAGGTCTGGTGGCCCCTCTGCCTGGGTGCCATCCGACGGCTCCGGCCTCTTTGCAGGTCATCAGCCATGACACCCGGCGGTTCCGCTTCGCCCTGCCGACGCCCCAGCACATCCTGGGCCTCCCGGTCGGTGAGTATGACCCCGACCCATGCCAAATGGAGCTGGGGCTAGCTCAGAGGGGTGGGAGCTTTGCGCTTCAACTAGGGAGAGCAGGGAGGGCTTCAAGGAGGAGGTGGCAGCCACCCTGAGCCTTTGAGAGTGAGCATTAGAATGAGAGGGGAAATATTCTCGTGTCCCTGGCAGTGGCACCAGCGTGAGCCAAGGCTTGAAGGCAGGAAGCTGGGACGTGATGGGAATCCCTGTGGGGGCGGGAGGGGGCAGTGGGAGCTGAGGCTAGGCCAGGCTCTGAATGCTGGGCAGGGCAGAGGGTTGACCAGATCCAGTGGACCCTGCAGGGATGGTCCCTGGCCCAGAGTTACCCCTCCCCTCCTGCAGGCCAGCACATATACCTCTCAGCTCGAATCGACGGAAACCTCGTCATTCGGCCCTACACCCCCGTCTCCAGCGATGACGACAAGGGCTTCGTGGACCTGGTCATCAAGGTGAGGTCTCGGGGGCAGGGGTGACCACTTCACAGCCAAGGCTCCAGGGGGCCCACATCCTCCGCAGCCTGGTCCCTGAAGGCCGGGTGCTCTCTTGTACGTGGTTGCTGAGTGAACAGTAAATCGTAATTTACCAGCAAAAGCCAAGTGTGGGGCCTCTTCAGAGAGCGGGGGCTGGGTTCAGGCTGAGCATCTTCAGACAAGGGCAGGCATCTGCCTGGAGGAACCAGGAAGGCCAGCTGGCTCCTGCAGAGCTTACCTTCCCACTCTGGCTGGCAAAGCCCAGGGAGCTGCAGGCCTGCGCTGTGGCCCGGGACAGCCCACACCACTGCGTTCAGTCACGGGGTCTCTCTGACCCGGGGGGTCCTTTTCTGAGCTCGTTTCCCTGACGAACATCCCACAGGCCCACGGGGGAGCTGTGTGAGGGGAGCCGGGCTGTGTGAGGGGCTTTCTGGGGTCCATCACAGTCGGGGGTGGGCACACACCATGGGGAAGATGCAGCTGCCAGAAGCGACAGACCAGAGAGACACAGTACAGCTGGCAAGGATCTTAAGAATCATCACGCTGAGTGGATAGAGAAATGACAACTGCAGCCGGTACACTTTTATGAAAATCAGAAACACAAGCTTCACAGCAGCGATCCATGTTATCTGATTACATGTCCAACAGGTGTGAACCAGCCCCGGCCTGGGGCGTTGGAGACCTTCCCCAGTCAAGGCCCAAACGCCCATGGCCACCGTGGCTCTGCGCCCCTGGGGACCAGGCTTACTGTCCCAACTCCACTGCTTGGGCCCCCAGCGCCCCCTCTCTGGGCCCTTCGTGGGTGACAGAGGCAGAGACCCCCCGCTGAGTCTCACAGGGTCCTGGGTCAGGTGCTGGGCCTGTCGGTGCTGGCTCTGGCCTGAGTCTCCTCTTAGCTTGGTGTCATTTAGACCCTGTGCTGGGTGCCCAGGCCCAGCCTTGGGAGCCTGTCTTTGGCTGGAGAGTGGACACTGAACACATGGTCACACAGAGGTCAGTGCTTGCTTCAGGGCCAAGCAGAGACTGAGTACCTGGAACGGGCACCAGAGCTGGGCAGGGGTGGGGTGGCCAGAGCTGCTCCCCTGAGCAGGCAGGGGTGAAGTGAGAGCTGGCGGCTGAGGAGCCCTCGACCAGCTGGGGAGGGAGGGAACGGTCCTTCCAGGTGCAGAGGCCCTGAGGTCAGAAGGAGCCTTGAAGAATGAAGCAGCCGAAGGGCAGGGGCTGGAGGGGACGAGGGGTGGGAGAGGAGAGGTCAGGGGGGCCAGGCAGGGCCTTGGAGGCCCTGTAAGGTTGGGCTTCGTTCAGAAGCAAAGGGAAGGTGGTGAGGGTTCTTGTTGCAATCACTTCAGCCGGGTGTGGAGAAGGTGGGACGGGGGGTGGGGGTCAAGTAGAAGATGAAAAACTCACGATGACCAGGCCCCTCCTGGCTTGGAGACCTCGCTGCCACGCGTTGGCTCTGGATAAAGGTCCAAGTCCTGGCCTGGCACATGGTGTGCTCTGCCCGCCTCTCCCTCTCCTCCCAGACCCCCTTACACACAGACACATCCCCTGTGCTGTAGTCACAGTGAGCTCTCCCTCAGCCCCTGGCCGCCTGGCCTTCACCCACACTGTCCCTCCCCAGTGCCTTCCGCCTTCTCTGCCCACCCTTCTGCTGGCCCTTCGAGCCCAGCGCACAGCCCCCAGTGCAGCCTTCCCATCCCGTTGTATGAAGGTTGCAGTGCTTCCCTTTCCAAAGTTGAAATCCCAAAGGGCCCAGGGTAGGAAGTTCCAAGAGCGATGTTTTTATGACAGCACAGAATGGAAAGAACAGAACATCCCCCAGGAGGGGTGTGGCTGAGCCTTTACTGTGCTGGCAGCTGTTGGAATCTCCCGTCAGGAGGGGTCACAGAGACCGTTCTTGGTGGCACGTTAATACATGCAGCCCTCGGGTCACCTCATACACCAGGCTGACGCTTTGTGTTCCAAGGGGACGTTGGGGGGAGGGCAGACTCCTGGGGGGCGGGACACAGAAGGGTGGGTTTTGATGGGTGGATGGGGCGCTATGGAGAAGGCCACACAGGCCGCAGAGGAACCCGGGAGAGGCGCTTCCTTTGAGCTGTGACCCAGAGCTTCTTGGCAGCCCTGGGACAGAGACTGAGGACCGTGGGTGTGTCTTGCAGGTTTACTTCAAAGACACTCATCCCAAGTTTCCGGCTGGAGGGAAAATGTCCCAGTACCTGGAGAGCATGAAGATTGGAGACACCATTGAGTTCCGGGGCCCGAATGGGCTGCTGGTCTACCAGGGCAAAGGTGATTCGGGTTGGAATGCCCTGAGGACCTGGCAGGCGTGGTGAATGCTGGGTGCAAGTCCCGACTCTGCTGCTGTCCAGATGGGTGACTCTTGTTGGGCAAGCCGTCTCCTCTCCAGGGCCTCAGTTTCCCTGGCTGTATAGGCGATAAGCTGGCCGGCACAGAGGTTGCAGACTGGCTGCCCTTGGGGGCCAAATTCGGCCCACAGACCACCTTTGGCTGAAAACAGACAAGCCACAGGGTTGAGCTGGGACGCCTCCCGTTCTCCAGCCCCTCCACCGCTCCCGCTGTCTCCACCACTCCCCGTGCCTCACCCTTCTGCTCCTCTTGGCATCTGAGTTGGTCCTGGTATCGCCACCTTCCCGTCCTCTCCCTCACCCCACGTGGTGGAGGTTGTGTGGTGGCCGCCAGCCCCTCGCAGCCCTGAAGCGGGGACAGGTTCTCCAGCCCGCCCAACCCCAGCACAGCATGTCTGACAGCTGGGCCTCACCCCTCTCCTCTCCCCAGGAAAGTTTGCCATCCGTCCAGACAAGAAATCCAGCCCGGTCATCAAGACGGTGAAGTGTGTCGGCATGATCGCGGGAGGGACGGGTACGTGGACCCGCAGCCCTCACTGGGTCCCCGCGGGCGGGTGTCGTGGGCCGGCGTCAGCGCGGGGGACGGGGCACAGATGACGAGTGACCGTGAGCTCGCTGAGGTTGGGAGCCCAGGCCCGCTGTCCTGGCCCCTCTCCCCTGGGCGCCTGCCTGCCCAGGCCTGTGTGTATGCAGCAGGCGCTCACTCGGCATGTCGGGCGGCTGTTTCGCAGGCATCACCCCGATGCTGCAGGTGATCCGCGCCATCATGAAGGACCCGGACGACCACACCGTGTGCCACCTGCTCTTTGCCAACCAGGTCAGTGGGCACACCGGCTCCTGCTGAGGGGATCCACGTGGCTCTGTGGACGCAAGCGGTGGCCAAAACACGAGGGTGCTCTGAACCTCCGTGTGCAGGCAGCCTTCGCAGCCGCTGGCGGGGCCGGGCTCTTTAGTCCAGAGCCCGGGGTATCTGACCTGATGCACCTGGAGCAACCGCTCCCTGAGATTTTCACCCCTGGCTGCTGCCTCAGACCCTCAGAGCTCCCTTCCCCACAAGCAGAGTTTGGCGCCCACCAGTGAAGTGGGGAGAACACTGGCCTGGCCTGGGGCCGGCCTGGAGACAGAGGGGCCGTTTCTGCAGATGAGGTGCTGAGAGCATGTCTGAGCTGGGGGTGTTGGGGTGGGGTGTGGGCCTGGTCTCCCTGACTCCTGACTGCATGGCCTCCTCCCCATGCCTGCCGCAGGCCTGCCCTGGCCTGCTGTGTGGCCTTGGACAAGTCACTTTCCCCCTCTGGGCTTTGCTGCCTCGCTGTGGAGTGAGCTGATGAAGCAAGGTCATCATAAGGGTCTTTCCAGGTTCAGTGTTTCCTGACTGAATGTGTGGGTTTTGTAAAGTGACGCCCCTTTGTAAAGTGAAACCAAGATGAGACCCTCCCCGACAGTGTGAGGCCATTCCCGGGCCCCCTGCGTTGCTCAGATGTGGTTCAGGTCAGCTTGCCCCCGGGGCTGTCTGGCCCAGGCTCTGTACTGTCCGTCTGTGAGGAGACCGAGTTCAGAGCAGGAGGGGCTTGCCCGAGGGCCTTGGACATGGGTCCTTGGACTCCTGCACAGCTGCAGAAATCTGTCCTGAGGACAACCGCCGTGGCCTTCACCAGGCCTGGGGCTGGGGGCTGGCGGTGCGGGGTTAGTCTCTGTGGAGGCCGTCGGCCCTCCGTCGCCTGCACAGGGCATCTTTGCGCCCACTGGCCCATTTGCCAGGGCGGTGGAATCGCCCCACTTTGCAGCTCTGAACACAGAGGCCCAGAGAAGGGCGTGACCTACACGTCTCACAAGAAGTGGTGGAACCAGAGCATATTTTATGAAAAATAACTGTGTTTTAGAAAACATTGTATTTTTTTTAAATTTTTTATTTATTTATTTTTTTCCCCCAAAGCCCCAGTAGGTAGTTGTACGTCATAGTTGTACGTCCTTCTGGTTGCTGCATGTGGGACACGGCCTCAGCATGGCTGGAGAAGTGGTGCGTCGGTGCGCGCCCGGGATCCGAACCCAGCCCGCCAGCAGCGGAGCGCGCGCACCTGACCGCTAAGCCACGGGACCAGCCCAGAAAACGTTGTTTTATTTTACATTTTTGCAAACCTTTGTCATGTTAGCTCAATAGAAGCAACCAGATTCTGTCTCCATTTCTGCGTCCAGTCGGTGAAGTATCCTGGGTCATGGAGCCTCTGGGGAGTGAGAGTGAAAAATGCAGATAAAGTTCTAGTATTATGTGGAAATCGTTTTGACCCCATGGACCCTCTGAAGGTCTCGGGGACTCAGGGGTCCGAAAGTTGCCCTCTGAGAACAGCTGCTTTGCTCCACTGAGGTCATTGCCCCTCCCCCCGTCCTTCCAGTGACCTCGGTGCCTGGCTTTGACTGGGGACCCCTGCTCTCAGGTCACAGCCCCCCCGTTTCCTCATCTGTAACGTGAGGTAACAGGGCGCCGGCCTCACAGGATGGTTGTGAGGATTAAGACCTGAGACACACCTCGGCCTTGGATGGGGGCACTGAACATTTCAGAGATGTGCGTTCTTCCTGGAGGGACCGGTGTGGAGGCTGGGGCCGGGCCAGGGCTGAGGGCGGCGTCCCGAGTCGGGAAAGCACCCAGCCTCGGCCTAAAGGGAATACGGCTTTTCAGAAGGGCGTGAAGGGGGCCAGCCCCGTGGCTCAGCGGTTAAGTGCGTGCACTCCACTGCTGGCGGCCCGGGTTCAGATCCCAGGCGCGCACCGATGTACCGCTTCTCCAGCCATGCTGAGGCCGCGTCCCACATACAGCAACTAGAAGGATATGCAGCTATGACATACAACTACCTACTGGGGTTTTGGGGGAAAAATAAATAAATAAAATTATTAAAAAAAAAAAAAAAAGAAGGGCGTGAAGGGAGACTTAATCTACAGTGAGGTGTGCCTTGTTCTTGGACAGGGAGACCCCATACTCTAAAGCTGCTGGTTCTTTCTAAAGTAAAACTCAAATTCCCAGTGGGATATTTTTCCCCCTTTATATGACAAAATGATGCAGAATGGTCTGGAAGACAAAGTACACATGCACAGCCAAGAAAGTTTTGAAAAAGAAGAGTAACGAGGATCAGCACACTGAATGTTAAAACTAAAAAGTGACAGTGATGAAAACAACGTGGTTCTAGAGCCACGCCTGAGACCTGGGCTTACTGGGCTTACTGCACTTCTGGGTAACACAACGGAAAGTCTAGACTGTGCTGGAACCTTCTAGAACATGTGGCTGTTTATTTAAATTAATTAAGATTAAATAAAACTAAAAACTCACTTTCCCAGTCTCACTAGCCAAGTTTCAGGGGTTCTGTAGCCGCATGTGGCCGGTGGTTACTGTTTTGGATAACACGGAACATTCCCATCATTGCAGAAAGTTCTGTTGAGCAGTGCGGGCCTAGAAACAGACCCAGGTGTATGTGAGACTCTGCATATGATGCAGGTGACATCTCACATCTGATGGGAGAGATAAAAGGAGGGTTGGGTTAGTTTCTATGCATTTGGAAAAAACTAAGTAGATCCCTACTTTACCTTATAGTGAAATGAAGTTTGAGTTCAAGATGCATGTGTAAAACAATGAAGCTTTAAAAGTACTAGGTGAACATTTTTACAAGAAGTGTTGTTGTGGGGCCGGCCCCGTGGCTCAGCGGTTAAGTGCGTGCGCTCTGCTACTGGCGGCCGGGGGTTTGGATCCCAGGCGCGCACCGACGCACCGCTTCTCCAGCCATGCTGAGGCTGCGTCCCACATACAGCAACTAGAAGGATGTGCAACTATGACATACAACTATCTACTGGGGCTTTGGGGAAAAAAAAAAGGAGGAGGATTGGCAATAGATGTTAGCTCAGAGCCGGTCTTCCTCAGCAAAAAGAGGAGGATTATCATGGATGTTAGCTCCGGGCTGATCTTCCTCACAAAAAAAAAAAAAAAAGAAGTGTTGTTGAATGAATGAAGGAGGATGGTCAGTCTGAGTGTAGCAGCACAGGAGACCCATAGAGGAAGAGACTGATGGGGTCATCTGCTTAAAAATGAGATGCCCCTCTGAAAAACAGAAAACACTATAAAAAAGATAGAAAGATAAATAACTGGGGGGAAATGTATAATGCATCACCAATAAAAAATTAATATCTTTAATATAAAAAGAGCTTTTACAAACTAATAAGAGGATACAACTAGAGCCAGTGACACATTTATTTTTTATTAATAATAAAATAAAACATGAGATTTACTCTCCATCAGTCTGACTGGCAAAGATTAAACTATCATTACCCAGTGCTGGCAAAGGTGTAGGAAGATGGACCCTCTCGGGCATGCTGCTGGGTGTGAATTAGTGTAACCTTTCTGGGAAATCAACTTGTTGCATGTATCGAACACCTTAACCATGTGGAATTTTATACCCCAAACTCCAATTCCTTAAACTTCTCCTAACGAATTGGGAGGGCAGTGAGGATGGTCCTAGGGGCGTTGTTTGTAAAGGGGGATGTACGAAACAGTTTAAATGTCCTTCAGCTGGGAGCAGGCGGTCCCTTTGTCCAGCGCGAGCTGGGAAGCTGGTAAGGAAAGCGTTGGCGTTTGGAGGCCGATGGCGCATGGATGGTCTGTGGTGTGTTCTTACCTGAAAAAAGCAGGTGGCAGGGGGATGCATGGCCCGATCTCATTTTTATTAAAAAAAAGAAAAGTATACATACTTATTAGGACAAAAAGTCTAAAAGATACACGCTAAAATCCTAAGTTGTTATCTTTGGAGAGTTCCGGGTGATTTTTCTTCCATATTTTCTGCATTTTTACCCAGAGCTCGTCCAGCCCGACCCCTCCCTGTCCGCACCCCGTCAGGGCAAGAGGGGCCCTCGGCCCCCCTTAGAGATGGGAAAAACTGTCCACACCCACTCCCTGGGGCATGCAGAGGCTGGCACCTCTGCCTGCAGCCCATTTCCTGGGGGGGAACACGGAGGAGCCGGGCCCTGGGTCCTTGTGGGGACGAGGACACAGCGTGGCCTGTCTTGGTCCCTCCTGTTGTCAGCGTGGCGCCCGCTATGTCTTGGGTACATGGGGAATATCGATCCCTGTGACTTTGAACTCTCTGTCCGCCCCGCCCGCCCGCCGGCTGCGATTCCTCCGTCCTCCCTCTCGCTGAGCGTGTGGAGGCGCCGCTCCCCTCGCCTGCCGCCCCGCGCAGCGCGGGGTCTCAGAAGAGATACCCGAGTGGGTGACCTGTCTGGTTGACAGAGCTCTTTGGCCCCTAGTTTCTTAACAGCCCCACGAGATCAGTCAGGCCGCCCACTGGCCGAGGAGCCCAGTCCATGAGTGACCTGCAAACACCTGGGGCAAAGGCCTGTGCTCAGGAATGGAAAGGGGCTGTGTCAGGTGCAGATTGCTCACGTCCCCTGGGGGGTCTGGGAAGGCTTCCTGTTGGAGGTGACACCAGGCTGAACCCTAAAGGGCCACGTGGGGTGAAGTCGGTGGGGAGCTGTAGGCCCTGCAGAGGGATGTTTGTGGGCGAGGCTGTGAGGGGCAGGTGAGATTGGGGGGAGTGTCTGTATTTCCTAATTGATGGACGTACAGCCTGAGACCCCAGGACATAAAAAGATGTGTGCAAGGGGTGAGGGTGGCCAACCCTTGTCCCTGTAGCTGAACCATTCGTTATTTGAAGTATCGTAACCACCCTGGGGGATACTCACGACGAACATTTGGCGTATTTCCTTCCTTCTGTTTTCCCCTGTTCCGTAGTCGAGCGCCCCCATCTTTATTTTGTTTCCTGCTTTCTCTACTCCTCATCACGTTGCGCGCATTTCCCCACAACGTTAACTGTTTGCCAGCTCCATCTGTAATGACCATCCTCGTGGGCAGCTTTGAGCCGCTCCACAGGCAGGAGGAGGAGAAAGGGCGGGAGAGACTTTCAGAGTCTGGCTCAGCCCTGCCCGACGGCTTTCTGGAAGCTTGGCTAAGCGGGCTGCCCACGGGTGGGTGGGATGGCGAGCCACTTGGGTGACGAGTGTCTCCAAGGGCAGTCCCCATACCATCTCTCCTGACCAGTTGGCCCTGTTCCCCCGCAGACCGAGAAGGACATTCTGCTGCGGCCCGAGCTGGAGGAACTGAGGAACCAGCACTCTGCGCGCTTCAAGCTCTGGTACACACTGGACAGAGCCCCTGAAGGTGAGACAGGGATGGGCTGGTGTGTGTGGGGGGGGCGCCGGCCCACAGCTCCCCTGTGCTGAGGCCTTCGCCATGCTGGGCCTTCTGCTCACATGGTCTCCTTTGGTGCTCACTGGGTGGTGGTGGGGCTGGTGAACTCACAGAGCCTGAGGCCTTCCCCTGGATGCACTGCCCCCTGCTGGACGAAGAAGGCCGCCTTCTCCCCTTGGGCTGGGGCTCACTCTGTTGCAGGTGTCCAGGGCCAGTACCCTGAAAGGCACTTTGCACCCATTTTCTCTCTGGTCCTCAGCCCTGGGGGGTGGGTGGGGCTGACGTACAGTTACCCTCATTCTACCTGTCCAGGTGTTTAAGCTGTTTTCCAAAGTCACATAGGAGGCGGTGAATGAGGGCTGCCCCCAAAACTTGAAACAAGGTTGCCCTCTGGGAGCTAAACTCTACTTCAGTCTCCTGCCTTAGGTAGATGTGGACGCAAGAAATATCTTAACTTCTGTGCCGTGAGAAAAGCAGCAGCTCAGGCTTCTTGGTAGATAATACCAGTGATGTTTGGCCTTAGGGTTGGGAGACTCTGGGGAGTGATGGGGACTGTGGCAAATTGGAGAGCATCTACTCCATCCGGAGGGGCAGTCCTCTCTCAGCTGCAGGCAGTGCTGCTGTGCAGGAATACAGCCCTGTGTGGCCAGGCCTTTCCATTTTTCAAGGGAAGCCGAGGACCTGCATTTTCATAGGAAATTTCTAAATGTTAGAAACTGGACATTTTTGAGGACCCACGTGGGCGCCAGCTTGTGATCTTGTTCACATCCCGCCACCCTGCCCTTGCTCTGCCTCCTGCTCCTCACAGGGCCCCCAGTCCCCGGGGACTCAACCATGTGGGGTGTGGGGAACACGCACCCTCTGCTTCCCCCAGAAATGAGCAGATGGGCTCTGGGGATGCCCGTCTTGTGAGCTGGGTCATCTGGGCCCATCGCTGAGAGAGGAGTCAGGTCCTGGGCCTCCTGGGCTGACAGCCGGGCCAGGGCCTGGGCGGATGCGTGGACCCTCAGCCCATCTGAGCCAGGCAGGTCCCCTCCTGGTCGGACCCTCTGTCCTGTGTGTTCATGGAGCCAGCCTGGCCCCCTGAGCTGATGTCCTGGTGCAGGAAGGATGACAGGACACGTTATAGGACGTAGTAGCCGCTGGTTAGTGAGGCCTGGGAAAGACAGACTAGAGTCGGGCAAGGGGGTCAAGAGTGGGGGTCAGGTGGGGGCACTGGTTCTAGGGGTCAGAACTGCTGTTTTCCTTCTAGTAGAGAAAGGAACGTTTATCTTGCACCCATGTCTCAATCACAGTGGGGCGTGAGAGGCGGTTTAGCCCCCTCCTGGTTGCAGTTTCTAATCATGGGGTAGGGCAGGCTCCTTAGCCAGGGCGGAGCCTCCTGGGAACCTCCTGGCCCCGCAGGAGCCCCTCCCCTTGTTGCCAGGAAGTCACTGTCCTGCAGTGGGGGAGCAACGCGGGACCGAATGCTGCCCCCTAGGGACTGATTTAAGAACAGTTACCCGCCGAGGAGAGGTGCGGGTGAGTAATCTCCCAGCGTTTACACTTATACGTATTACTACCCTGCCCCACAAATCAAGAGTAGCTGAGGTGTTGTTATAACATCAGGTATAAGCTGACGTTCTGGATGCTGAGAAAGACAACGGTAACAGGCCAGCACAGCTATTGTGGCGCGAAGCAGAGGAACAGGGGCTGGGGCCAGCTCACATGGCCAGAGCAGCTGACTTGTGTTTCCCACACAAAGTCTCCTTCAGTACATGTAGAAAGAAAAATGTACTGTCTAAAAAAATCCTTGTAAAAGTGAGACATGTCTTTCTACACTGGCACGTACAGTTTAGTCCCCTGTGACGTTTTATGAAGTACTTTCAGCTCTGTTGCCCAGCTATAAAAATGTTATCTGTCTATCTATGCCCTGCCTTGTTCCAGAAGGGATTTTAGGCAGCTTACAGAGACTCAAAGGGTGAGTCAGAGTGGTACAAATGGAAAATGGGAGAGAAAGAAAAACAAGGGCAGGGCCATAAAATGGAATCAGGAATGAGGTTTGTATAAAAACCTAGACTGTGCCACGGATGGGCTATGCATATCACTCTGAGTTTCCCAGCAGCCAAAGTGAAAAGGGAGATGTGGTCAGTTTCTTAGCTCAGTGTCCATGAGATAAAAGATACCTCATTGCTCAGCACAGCAGACTCTTCCTCGTCCTGAGATGGGCTAGGACTGTCTTGACCCCTCTGGCTAGGACTGTCTTGACCCCTCCCAAGGGACCCCACATAGAGTGGACATGGTGTGATGCAGTGAGCGTTATCCCTTTAGGCAAGGTCCCTCAGTGACCTCCTGACCTTGGGCTCCACAGCTGCGTTTCTGTTGGTGTTAAGGGCTTAGTGAGACTCTTTCGGATTGCGAAAAACAGAGACAAGCCAGATAATCCGGTGTTTGGGGCTGGAGAGCCTCAGCCAGGCCTGGGGGAGCACTGGGCCTCTCTAATGGAGCCAGCATTGTCCAGCTCTGCTGCTGCCACTTCCGTCTGCCACCCACATTCCTGCATGGCCCTGCCCCCGCACCTCCACCTGCAGCCTCTCTCTGCCCATCCTCTTCACCCCTCCGGAGCCAAACCAGAGGATCTGCATGGGTGGTCACCCCACCCACTGGCCAGAGCTCAGAGGCTGGCCTGGGGTCGGGCGCCCACAGTGGGCTCAGGAGGCAGCCCATGGTGGCTCCTCAGAGGGAGGGACGTGGGGCAGGTGGTGGGCATCTGGCAGATCATTCTGTTTGTCCGTCCCTCTGGGGCTGAGCTCCCGCTGAGCTGCCCAGCATGGGGTCATTTGAGAGGCCAGCGTGTGCCCTTGGTCCCCAGGTAGTATTTGTCCCAACGGGATGTTAGAGAGCCGTGAAGGCAGGTGAGCTTCAGACAGGGTCCCCTCCTCGCTCATCCAAAAGACCGGTCAGCTTGTTAGCAACACATTCGAAAGAAGACAGGGAGACCTTCCCTTACTTGGACTCATAATCCTACGAGGTAGGCGGGATGGCGCGCGGTGAGTTCAGATGTGGACACTGAGGCACAGGGGGTGCCAGTTGCCCAGCAGATATGAAGCCAGAGCTGGAGCCAGGTGGGCGTCTGTCCCCTTCCTCTTCTCTGCCCCCACGCGGCCCCCGGTCATCAGAGCCCTGTTCTCCTGTCTGACCCCTGCCAGCCCGTGGTCCCTGTTAACCTGCTGTGCGCCTGGGCTGGGCGGTCCCCTCTCTGAGCAGCCCTTCCAGCGGGTCAGTCCCTGAGGTCCGTGTTGGACTAAAGCCCCTGCCAGCCTCCGGGTGCTGGGTTCTCACCATGGGCACCCTCAGCCACGTGGAGGAACAGAGAAGGCTCCAGATCTCAGGTGAAACCTGGAGACACACTGTGCGCGAGTGTGCAAGACGGGGAGGAAGGCGGGACCTGGAGGGAGCTGCCGCCACCGCGAGGGTCCTGCATCTGGAACTTCAGTGTGTCTCACTTCCCGTGGTCAGGCTCCCGGGTGCTTATTGGGCATGTCCCTTTGTTCGTTACTTATTGAGCAACAGCCAATGGGCTGGGCTGACTAGGCGCCGGGAACATGCCGTGGCCCAGACACGGCTCCTCACGGGCCGACGCTGCTGGGGGGGAATGTCAGACAGTGGCTCGTGGAGGGGGTTGCGGTGGAGAATGTCACCCTGACCAGCTCGGGGCTGGGCACTGTTTTGGGGTCCTCTGGGTCCTGGAGTCCAGCTGTGTCCACTGCCTCATGATGTGACCTTGAGACAACTCAATTCTGGGTCCTCTGGGCCTCGGTTTCCACATCTGTAAAATGGGACCTGTAGCCCTGCCCTGTCTGCCCGCAGGTGGTCCTGAGGGCTACGTGAGAGGCTGAAGGGAAGAGAAAGGCTTTGCACACTGTGAAGTGGGGGCGTGAGGGCTGGCATTTGTGTTCTGGGAGTCAGGCTGGGGCAGGGGATGGGGCGAGGGTTTGCTGGGGTCGGCCTCTTCATTCCTCAATGTTTGTTGAAAGGAGAGAGGAATTCCCAGCACAGGAGCTTCATTAATGCGCGGGGGAGGGTGTTGGGCAGACGGGCAGTCCTCGGCCACGCCTGGGCTCACCTGGCCTCCCGCCCCGCAGACTGGGACTACAGCCAGGGCTTCGTGACCGAGGAGATGATCCGGGACCACCTTCCGCCCCCGGAGGAGGAGCCGCTGGTGCTGATGTGCGGGCCCCCGCCCATGATCCAGTACGCCTGCCTGCCCAACCTGGAGCGCGTGGGCCACCCCAAGGAGCGCTGCTTCGCCTTCTGAGGGCCGGGCCCCGGCCGCCCGCACGCCGCCCCGCGCCCTCCCCGGGCTCTCTGTCCGCACACAGCCCTCCCTGCTGCCCTTCTTTCACGCCACTGTCCCCCACGTCTCCTGCTGTGGCCCCGGGTTCAGCCTGGCCTGCCCGTGCCGGGGTGGTCACCCCGCTGGGCTGGCCCCCAGGGGCCCCTATAGGAGAGGGTTCTGTTCCAGATGGGCCACCGCCGGCCACCTTCAGGGCAGGTTCCTGTCTGGCCCTCACTGGTTCTTACTGGTGATGCCTGGCCCTGGCCCCGCCTGTCCCTCCCCCTACCCCCCAAACTACTGGGCCGAGGCTGCCAGCACCATGCTCCCCCCACCTGCCCAGATCGGGCCACACTCTGGAAATAAACGGAAATGTACGGGAAGCCCAGAGCTGTGGGTGTCCCTGGCCACCACCTCGGGACCCCTACCTGCCCTTCACTGCCAGGCCTCAGCACCCGACACTACATGACAGGTAACACCAAATAGCCCTCCTGGCAGGGGCTATGGGGTGAGAGGCTGCCCCACCGTAGGGCCAGGCAGGCCCGGCCAGCAGGGAGCTCGGCTCTCCCGGGGCTGGAGTCGGGGAGGGGGCTGGCTGAGGGCCCTCCTGAAACCTCGGCATTCCCCAGCACCCAAACATTTGGGCAGCTTTGGGAGTTCCAAGCTGTCAGCTCGGCAGCCTGACTGACCGCCTGGGGGTCCTGGGCTGCCAGTCCTGATGGCAGAGCTAAGACAACATTTATTTATTCCTCTGTCCCAAACCCCGCTCCTGCTGCCCTCGCCCCGGCGTGGGGGAGATTTCGAGCAGAGCCTCTAGTCTGAGAGACGTTCTCAGTGGCCTCGACGTTGCCTTTAGACAACCGTGTCAGCCTCTTGCGTATCGGCTTTTTCAGAGTCATTTATGAGCAGAAAAACATTGAAGTAAACTTTGCTAATATGAACCCTTCAGCAGCTCCTCAGGCTCTGTGACCTGCATCTCTGGGGGGTGGCAGGGGTGGGGGACAGGAGGGGGCTGCACAAGGCCTGGCATTTATTTCTTATGGATGTGTATGTTGTGGAAAATCTGGAGAGTACAGAAAAGCATACACAGGAACAAAAACACTGGACATCAGAGGCAAACACCTGTAGCTGATGAAACCATACCATCCAGCGTGTGGCTCCTGCTGTCCCCCTGGGGTCAGACGCTCGCCATACACCCAGATGGATCATTATCTATTATGTAGCAAATCCCCCATCGTTAGACAGTTAGGCTGTTTCCAGTTTGTGGATTTTGTGAAAAACAGGGGCCATCTTCCCCCTCCTTTCAGATGATTTCCTAGGATAGATTCCTGGAAACAGAGGGCTGGGCCAGGGGGTGCTGGCGAGAAAGACACCAGACAAGTCCCAGATGGTGGTGAATGCCACGACAGAAGTTAAAGAGGGTGATGAGACAGTATAGGCATGAGGGCTGTTCTTGTAGTCGGGCAGCAGAAAGCCCTCTCTGAGGAGTTGCCGTTTGTGCTGGGATGTGAAGGGAAGGAGCTGGCCCCACTGGGCCACATGTTCAAATGTTCAAGGTGGTGGGAACAGCAGGTGCAAAGGCCTTGTGGTTGGAACAAGTGTGTGGAATCTACTTCCAGAAACAGATCAAAGAAGGCAGGTGGCTAAGGAGACAGTGATGATGAGGGTGGAGAGGGAAGCAGGACTAGATGCTCCCTGGAGGGAGTGGCCAGCAAGTGCAAAGGCCCTGGGGCAGGGGGAACATAGGGAAAGCCTGTGTGGCTGGAGTGGAGTTGGGGAGAGGGGAAGATGGGGGAAGTTCACAGGAAGGAACGCCTGAGGCCAAGACTCAGAGGCAGGGGAGCCCCTTTCTTCTCTCATCTCTCACCTTCCATCTGTCCCTGACACACACTGGGGCAGGGTGAGACTCCTCAGTGGGTGGGGAATCCCAGGCCCTGATGGTCCTTCTCCACACCTATTGTGTGTGGGGGACTCTGCTGAGCACCCAACACACAGTAGGTCTCCTCCTTCCTGTCCCCGTCTGGAGGATAAGAAAACAGGCCTGAGGGTTGGGACTTGATGCACACCTCCTGACCTCACAAGAGGGTGTCTCCTAGGGCCAGAAAGGAGAGCATGAGCTGGACCTGGCTCTGCCCTCCCTACTGGCCTCAGTTTCCCCATCTGTGAAATGGTGAGTGAAGTGATTCTCTCCCCTCTCAGACCCCACACCCTTCTAAAACAACAGTTATAACAGCCCTTTCACTCTCCTGAAGTGAATTCTCAGGTAATATCAGCTACCTACACACAGAATTTTCAAGAATTAACACAAAGCTCCAACTATGTTATCAAAGAGCAAGAAAGGAAAGGAGTTTATTAAATGATGTACATTTCAGCATGTATACTGGCCCAAGTCCCCCAGAAGAGGTGGCGGGGGCAGGGGTTTGCCCAGATTGTGGGGTCCCTGGACTGTCACAGCCTTAAGCACAGCCCGACCCCCCCGGCGGCGTTGTCCCAGGTAGACACAATTCTTGGTCATTTTCTAAACAAAGCAGGACCGCTTCCTTGCGCTGTGGTGCCGCTGCATGGCTGGCAATTCCATGTTTGTTCACCCCCGGCAGAAAGTGCTGCATGTGCCTACAAGACATGGAGGGAAGCCCGGCCTCAGAGAATTCCCGGGCCTCTCCCTTCCGGGAAGGGCCCCGGGAATGGCTCCCGGAATGTCGCGGGTGTTGGGAGGGCCGGCGAGACCGCCCCACCCCAGTCCCCACCTCCACGTGACCGCCATCCCCGTCGTCCAGACAACAAAACACGACCCCAAAGGTTCAGAAATGCCCCTGGGGGAGGGCCACCCAGCTGACAATCCCACAATTAGTTGATCTCAGTTAATGACCCCATTGTGCTGGCTTTAAAAAATCATTTAAGTGACGTTTTTTACATTTCCCTTAAGGCGAGACAGGACCTTCACTCCTGCGGTCCATCCGTGGGGCCCTCCCGGGACTCCCTGCTGTTCCCCGCCCCCTTGGGGCGGGGTGCGGTTAGCGGTCCTGTTTTCAGCGGAGAGGAGGGCCAGCCCGCACGCAATCGCGGCTGCGCAGTTGGGTCCCGGACTCCCCCCTGTCTGGTGCCCAATCCCAGACCCTCTGACTTCACCCGCTACTGTTCATTTCTCCACCGAGCTTCCGATGCCCGATTTTTAACTGTGGTGTGATGCTCAGTCAAGAGCACGTAACTCCACTCGCAGTGTTGGACTGAGAAATAATAGGAACTCACAGAGCACCTAGTCCAGGCTCGGCGCTGTGCTAAAGGCATTGCGTGTAGTTTTATTGATTGATTCGACAAAACGTATCGAACATCGACTTCATGCCAGGCTCGGCGCCGGAGGCTGGGGTTGCATCGATGAAAAGGCAATTCCACATATCGAAAACTTTAATGAATCCGTCTATTTCACCCTCGCAACAACCTGTTATTTGCCGCACTTCACAGATCAAGAAGACAGAGGCACAGAGAAGTGATTTGCTTGAGGTCATGCCGCCAAGAGGTGTGTCCGGTGGGACGTGACTCAGGCGGGCCTCCAGCTCTCACCCCCGCGAGCCCGCCATTATAAACCACGAAGTGAGCGCCTACTGTGTGCAGGGGAGCCGCACGTGTCCGTACCTCTCAGCCACACAGAAACGGCTAGCACTATATTGTAGTTACAGGGGGGAAGAAGGCCGCCAATTTTACGTTCACGGATCACGTAATAATTGTTCAGTGTTATCGGTAATGCTGTAAAACCCGGGCAACCAGATCGCGCTTCTATGTTCCGACCAGTCTACTTTTCAAAAGAAAATGGGGACGGGCAGATCGCGACTCCCAGGCATCCCGCAAAGTAGGCGGGTCACCTTAGGGGCAACCTTTACCCGCTCAAAAATTCGTCTCACATTAGCAGTGAGGACTCGGGCGTCACCCCGAATCGTTATTTTCCTTACTCATAAGTTTAAGGCATAAAAGGGTACAGCAGTTACTTCCTAGGTGATGAATCCCATGCTCATTTGACCTACGGTGAGCATCAAAGTGGACCGTCGACCTGAGAGCTCCGCTCCTTTGAAGCTTATCTTACTCAATAATTAATTTCTTATGTTGCTTTTCATTTTATTTATTCGTCGGGGGAGAATAGGTCAAGGTAGCTCTCCGACCCGCCGTATGCAGATAAGCGGCCGGTGTCGCGAAGGCTCACGGGGAGCTCCCCGCCACTTCCGGTCCTTGCGTGCTTTGAGCTGTCGCGAGAGTTTGTCGGCCGGAAGCAGCTAGTGGCTCCGTAGCGGCCGGAGGGGCGGGCTCGCGGGCTGAGGGAGTGTAAAGCTGCTCGCGGCTCGCTCGGCGGCGCAAGATGGCGGACATCTCCCTGGACGAGCTCATCCGGAAGCGCGGGGCTGCGGCCAAGGCGCGGTGAGCGGCCTTTTCTCCCTTCGTGGTTCGGGGCCACGGCCTAGCGGGGCTCGGGCGGAGGAGGGAGCGGCCCGGGCGCGACGCGGCGGCCGCCTG